AGTACTGAAACACCGTCTAAGCTGTTCGCCAATCACAACGCACTGGGACAGCTAACCAATCACATCACATTTTGTTTTTCGGAAGGCGGACCTTCATCAAAGCCGGAACTAATCGAGCTGTTTGTACCAGGATGGGGAGAAAGGTATTTTAATAATGTAAATTATGTGAAAAATAATGTGTTTTTCGAACCACCAAGCATGAGAGCATGTTCTAGTACACCCCCAAAACAAAATCAAGACTTTGTAAAAGAGCATAATAGGACCCCTTTAAAACAAATAAAATTATAATCTCACAATGGTCAAATAGCAGTATATTGGTCTAGTACTCTACTATACTAGCACTCATGATGCTAAAGCACTATAGCTATTGTTGAAATTACATGTACATCTGATGCCTTTTTCATGCACGGAACAGTACAGCAGTGGAATAATAAACTGGTCAATGATGCATTCAGTGATTTTCCATAAATAGCACATTTGCACATGTGTACAAGTTTCAACAGTATGTCTAAGGAATGACGGCATGTAACATGTCCATATACATTTACAAAGCTCAGGTTATTCAGTTATAATTAGCCACAAATCCGTGTCAGTAGTCAGTGTTGTTCACTGTTACAAATAATCCTATCTCTGTCTATGTGAAATGCTAATGAAGGTGCAACTGGACACAAGTGAATCAGAAAGGGCCCCTCAATAATACTTTTAGATTTTGTGATTACAGTATTTGGTCTTACCTCAGGCCAGAGACTCATTCAAGCCCATATAATCTAGTCATCCATTCGCACAAATCACTGGCAAAACATTATATATATCCAAATCTAAAGGTCATCATCAGTTAAGAATATTAAACTTTTGAAAATTACACTATAACATTAACTCAAATACTTTTGACAACTTTTAGTCAGCTTTTAATTCAAAGTATTTAGCAATTTTACAGTTTTAAATGTGAACTAAATACTATGTCTTGTAAATAGGCTAATATCTATACAAGCGACCCATAATGAATATTATTAATATATTAATAATTACATTTTTGTAATATAGGTAAATGTGATATAAATCCATCTTAAACTGCATTACCTCAGAAGAGATTTTGTATACTTACGTTATAGTATCTACAGAACATAGGGCAGGTGTCCAACGCATCCGGCGAACTTAACCACAAACTACCCACAAAATCGCTTTCATGAGGTCACATCTCCAGAAGGAATGCAATTCCTGTTATAATAATAATAAGAGCTGAACTTCATGAGCACTGTAGCTGTGAGCAGAAGA